CAAAACCACCCAGAGCTCTGTTGTCCCTCCATGTGCACCCTGAACAGAATAACTGTGCAGAGCCCAGAAGATATTTCCAAGGATATCAGTTCCTAGAGGAAAGGTGCTGCACAACTACCCCGACCCATTGCCAGCCTTACTCTATAAGTCATACTGTATATGACTTATACAGTAAGGTTGTCACAATGAAACCAGGGTAGGATGCCCTCTCCAGAGCCACAAATGTTCTGCCATGGGAATAAACAAAGAGATACTTTTAAGCTGTCATTTAGTTACCCTGTGTCTTCCAGGCAGCTCCCACGGCCCCAGGAGGATCCCGTCTCTCCAGGCGCTTTCCCGAGCCCGTTTCAACCCCAGTGCTCAGCCCTGAGTGGGCTGGGCTGTCAGAGCACCAAGCAAGCCCCCAGTGCTGGCCTTGGATGAAGGCTCATCCCCATGTACTCCTCACCAGCCCTCCTGGAGGGCAGCAGGAGCAGCCAGATGCAGGCAGCACGTGTGGAGGGTGTGTAGTGAGGGCTGAAGGGTTCGGAGCTCATCCCTCCCTGTGCGACAGCTAAACGAGCCGAGACAATTAAATGTGCTGTTTGATGGCTGCCTGGCAGAGCCACAGCCTCTCTCTCTTTTAATAAAAGGGCTCTTCCCCAGGATCGCTCAGGCTGCAGGGAGGGCTGCAGCTTGTGAAGTGTGAGAGCTCTTCACATTTAATTAAACAGCCCGTCCAAGCCTGCCTCGTGTCGGCAGAGCTGCCAGAGATGCCCTGGCGCCTTGCTCCCACTGGGTGAAGCATCCCTGCCTCCTTCCATCCTCACCCCCAGCACGGACAGAGCTGTGTGCCAGCTTGCCTGGGCTGCCTGAGCCACCCCAAACCGCTGTGCCCCCAGACAGCAGTGCCCAGAGGGTATTTAACCCTTGCAGAGCTGATAACCCCCTTGATGTGAGCCAGGCTCTCCAGGGGGCTGAGCCCCAGCGGCTCACTCAGTGTGTGCTGCAGAAATGGGGGCTGCTGCAGCACCCAGGGTGTGAGACAGCCAGGGATGGGGAATCTGCCAGTGGATGCAGCCCCATGGTGACCCATAGCACCCCTCCACCTCTCTGCCCTGCAGCCACACAGGCCACCCCAGGCTGGGACACCACGGCCTCCCTGAGTCCCGTGCTCTCAGCCAGCTTCCGCCCGTCCCAGCTCTGCTCCTCGTCAGCCGAGCAGGGGAAATGCCCTGCTCTTGCCCAGGGCAGATAAGAGAGATGGATAAGGGTGGGGGCAGAGGGGAGGCCAGCATTTGGGTAGCTTGGCTGACTTTTCAGAGAGCACTTGTTTTGCTGAGCCCTGCAGCTTAACCCTTCCTTCCCCAAGGCCTGGGCAAGCTGGCAGTGGGAAAGACCTGGAGCTTTGGTCAGCTCCTGGTTATACCATCCTCATGGGCTCAGTGCTGTTGGACCATCTCCATGTTTAAAACTCCCTGCTGAGCTGGCATCACTCATTTCTGGTTCCTCCATCCCTGGGCAGAGAAGGCAGCATCCTCCCTCCCAAAATGCTGGCAGGGGAACTGCCACTCCCATCCTGCAACACAGCAGCCTGGTGGCTGAGGGTTTGCCATCTACAGGCATGGAGGCCTTCAATCCACTGCCTGCAGCTGTGCTTGCAGGACATTCCAGACCAGGCTTCCCTGGACCTTCTTGGTCCCCTGACACCAGCTAAGATGCAAACCCAGAATTTTTCTGTTTTATTCTCCCCATCTGAACTCTTCTGTGAGGGAAGAACTGGCTCCAGCAGGTGTCCTGGAGAAATGCTGAACAGCCACCCCACCCCTTCACCACATACATCCACTCGTGGCTGCAAAGTGGGAAAGGTGGATGGGTGGAATGGGATATGCAGGTTGCAGCTTCTGCCTCTCCTCACAGCCATAGCTGGGAGAGGGAGGTTATAAAAGGGGAGGGCTCAGGCTGCGCTTTGAATGTGGACATCCAGCCAGGTGAATATTTGGGGTTTTCACAAGTAGCCCAAAGTTGCTGTCCCCTGCTCCCCTCCCACATTCTCGAACCGGCAGAGCAGCTGGAGGAAGCTGCTGATGGGTATGAGCCCTTCCCAAGCCGCCGGGGCTCGGGGCTGCTCTGCACAGACCCCATCACTCACACTTTGAGGCCTGCCAAGCCAAAGGCACCGTAATTGCACGGCAGTTTCCCCCCCACTTCCGAAGCAGTGAGCTCTGGCAGGGACCAGGCACGGGGGCTCCCATTTCCGCCTGCCTCCAGCTGTTAGGGAGCAGAGAAGTGACAGAGAGCAGCCCCGGGCAGAAAGGGCTGCGAGGAGAGACAGCAAGCAGCGCTGCGATAAGGCGGGTCCCTGCTGAGCACCGCCTGCCTTTGAGATAACGCACCCCAGGTGCTCCCTGAGGGATTCCTGTGCTCCCTGAGGGATTCCTGTGCTCCATGCAGGGTACCTGTGCTCCCTGAGGGATTCCTGTGCTCCATGCAGGGTACCTGTGCTCCCTGAGGGATACCTGTGCTCCCTGAGGGATACCTGTACTCCATGCAGGATACCTGTGCTCCCTACAGGGTACCTGTGCTNCTGAGGGATACCTGTACTCCATGCAGGATACCTGTGCTCCCTACAGGGTACCTGTGCTCCCTGAGGGATACCTGTGCTCCCTGAGGGATACCTGTGCGCCCTGCAGGGTACCTGTGCGCCCTGCAGGGTACCTGTGCGCCCTGCAGGGTACCTGTGCACCCTGCAGGGTACCTGTTCTCCCTGCAGGATATCTGTGCTCCCTGAGGGATACCTGTGCTCCCTGAGAGATACCTGTGCGCCCTGAGAGATACCTGTGCGCCCTGCAGGGTACCTGTGCTCCCTGAGGGATACCAGTGCTCCATACAGGATACCTGTGCTCCCTGCGGAATACCTGTGCTCCCTGCGGAATACCTGTGCTCCCTGCGGAATACCTGTGCTCCCTGAGGGATACCTGTGCTCCCTGAGGGATACCTGTGATCCCTGCAGAATACCTGTGCTCCATGCAGGGTACCTGTGATCCCTGCAGAATACCTGTGCTCCATGCAGGGTACCTGTGCTCCCTGAGGGATACCTGTGATCCCTGCAGAATACCTGTGCTCCCTGCAGGGTACCTGTGCTCCCTTACGGATACCTGTGCTCCCTGCAGGCTGTGCCCTCACATGCGTTATTGCCTGCTCCAGCTCAGCCCCCTCTCTCCATGGAGTCAGACCCCAGTCCCAGATTCCACGCCCATGAAGAAGGGAAAGCCCAGAGCACAGGGAGCAAACCCAGGACATCAGATGAGCACACAAGAGGAGATCCAACCGGGGCCATCCCCACACACTACTAAGGATAGGTCTTTCCCCCACCTGACCACACATGAAGGTCAAAGGGTCACTTGTGGTGGAAGGAGAGTGTGGGGACCCTCCAGCCCTCCCTGGGCTGGCAAGATACTCTGTCCCTTCGCTGGTTCCAGATTCAACATCCCACTCACAGCCTCACTAATGGTCATGGATACAGTCACATCAGCAGCTCTTGGGCTTTTCAAGCCAGAGGAAGTGGAGCTTTCAACAGACAGAGCTGAGAAAAAAAAAAGCAGTCTCAATTTAAAACCTTTTACAGGCTCCAGCAGGCACCGGTGCTGGCAGAGGCAGAGGGTGTTACCCTGCATCAATCCCAGCATAAAAGCTCTGCTGTCAACACCAGCTAAAGAGTCCACAAAAGCTGCCCCACGCACGCCCTGCCAGCACTTCAGCCAAGCTGGAGGACAGAGGCTGCTGCCATGGCTTTATCTGCCTGGAAAGCCCTCCTTAAGATAGGAGGCTGCTTGCTCTGCTGGAAGGAGCTGCAGGTGCCTGGAGCTGGTTCGGCTCCAGACTGTCATCTGGCTGCTCTGGGACAAAGCTCCCCATCTCCCACAGCCTTGCTAGAGAAGGGAGTGTCTGCTGTCTGATATAACACAAGCAAAGCTTGTGTCAGGGGAACTGCTTCTCCTTGAGACCACTCCCCAAACCAGAGCACAGGGCAGTCATAGATACCCATTATCATGGGGAAACAGTATCTCACATCTCTTCCACCTGCTGTGCTCTTCTCTGCAGGAGTGGGTACTGGGGTTGGCAGGATTATTCCCAAACAGAAAGGGCACAGCTAGGATGCAAGACCAAGGAGAGGAGCCAAAAAATCCGCTGGGGAAGTGCCAGCATTCAAGTGTCCAGGTAGGCCTACAGCAAGGGGAGAAAGCAGCACCTGAATCCTGATGAATATGAGATGGTGCAACATCCTTCAGCCCTCACCTGCACACAGAGGTGCCTCCAGACATAGCTGGACCTGTCCAGCCACCTCAGCTGAGCCACCTCCCTGACAAGCTCTCACTTTTCACCAGCCCTTGAACAAATCCATGTCTGGAGGGGCCACCCATGCAGCCCAGCAGACAGCACACAGGCTTGCTTCAGCACCAGGCACCAGCTGTTCCCCGTGCTTTGCACCATCTCACCTTGCACAGCCTCTCTGCCTCCAGGAGGCTCAGCTTTCCCTCTGCCTGCTCCTAAAGGCAGCCCAGGGCTGGTAAGGGCGGAGCAGACAAAGGGCTGCCCAGGTGGAGCTGACTTAGGAAGGGATGTGGGTGAGAAAGGTTTGCAGAGAGTGATTGAACCCAAGGCTTTAACCTGACCTTGCAGGCAAGCTGTGATGCCAGGGCAGAGCTCTTCCCTGGATGGCCAGGCAGCTGTACAGGGTGCAGCTTTCACACCTTTGCAGGTTTCACACCTTACCCCTGTCCTGCAATAATCCCCATTTCCCTCGCTCTGGCTCACATCCCCATGCCCTGCCCAGGATTCCTGCAGTGCCAGACTGAGGGGCACTCAGCAAAGCAAACCCAGCTCTGTGTCCCTGCAGCCATCTTGCCCAGCCTCCCCCCACAGCCAGCACCCCGCCACTTGCTGTGACTGATACAGGGAACCTGGTGCTTTTATTAAACTCTTTGCTTCCTGTTTTAAGCTTAATAATAAATTGCATGTCACATTATGGCTGTGTTTATTAAAACCCATTGGCGTGGGCTCTGCTCTGCAACAGCATTTGAATTATTGAAAGCAACCCCCCATGGAGACCTATTTGCTGCAAACGCAGGAGGATTTATTTCCATTTTGTTTATCAGGCAGTATAAGTGCTGGGTGGAGGCAGGGAAGCCGCCTTGCTGCTTTATTTTCTCTCTGAGCCACTACAGCAGGGGGAAAAGGTGCCTTGCAAAAGACGGGGGGAAAATGTCACTCCCAACAGAGGTGGGGACAGGTTGGGGACAGAAGCCCTGGGGGTAGCTGGTCACTCTGCTGTGAAGGTCTCTCTGGCTCTAGTTGAGTTTTCCATGCACAGTTGCTTTGTGCCTCAGTTTACCTGTTTGCAGAGCGAGGTTACAGCGCTGCTCCCATCCAGGCATGACCAGTGATCAGCTCAGGCTCAATGAGCCTCTGCCGAAGCACTGATGTCCCATGGGAGGCGCCCATGGCGTGGGGGGATTGTCAGGGTGGCCATGAGGGGTGTTCACCCTTTTGCAGCCCTACCTCAGCGCAGACACCCAAGGACTGCAGCCGAACATCTCCAGCTCTGCCTCACCCCAGCTCTGCCTGCAGCAGCCACCCAAAGCCGGTGACAAGAGGATGCTCTGGCTCTGGGGCCATCCCGAGGGACAGCTCATACTCGTGTCCCTTGTATCATCCCTCCCAGCAGGGCAGGGGCTCTGCCAGGGGCAGGCACGGATGGATCCGAGTGTGGGGTGCTCCGGGGGTGCCCAGCCCGGCCCGGCCCGGGTGGCTGTGCCGGGAGGTGGCAGCACCGTTTAGCGGAAAATCGCCGCCCTGGCCCGGCGCGGACCGGCGGGAGGCGCGGGTGCGCCGCAAGAAGCGCGGCCGGCAGGTTGGGAGAGGTGATTCTGTCCCTCTGCTCTGCTTTGTGGGACCCTGCCTGAGTGCCGTGTCCAGCTCGGGGGCTCCCAGCATTAGAAGGATGTGGATCTGTTGGAGCGAGTCCTGAGAAAGGCTGTGAATATGCCCAGAGAGCTGGAGACAGGCTGAGAGAAGAGTAGGCTGGAGAAGAGAAGGCTCCAGGAGCACCTTAAGGCATGTTTCAGAACCTAAAGGGTCTATAAGAGAGCTGGAGAGGGACTTTTGACAAGGGCATATAGTGATAGAAAAAGGGTGAACGGCTTTAAACTGAAAGAAAGTAAGTTTAGGTCAGATATTAGAAGGAAATTCTTTTTTGTGAGGATGGTGAGGAACCGGCATAGGGTGCCCAGAGAAGTTGTGGGCTCCCCAGCCCCAGAAGTGTTCAAGACCAGGCTGGGTGGGGCCCTGAGCAACCTGGCCTAGTGGAAGGTGTCCCTGCCCATGGAGGGGCATTGAAACTAAGTGACCTCTGAGGTCCCTTCCAATCCAAACTATTCCATGATTCCATGTGCCTCCTGCCCAGGGGCACACGGGGCAGTATGTCTATGTTAAGGGGTGTATTACTTGCCAGACTCGGTGAGTTTTCCCTGCAGACCACAAAACCCTGTGGTTGGCAGCTGCTCAGAGAGTGCATCTCCAGGTTATCTCAGGTCCTGGCAGAACAAGCCATCTCTTCTTTGTACCCAGGCTCTCGGTGACCTCTGGTGCCCTGGGAAGTACCCACACCCTGCTCCTCCCAGGTGGCCAGGAGGTGTGGGTGCTTTGCCTGGGCCAGTGGCCATGTCAACACTTCCCAGTCCAGCTCTCCTGGTCTCTGACATCAGCCTGACCTCTGGGCTCACCTGACCAGGTGCTCTGAGTGCAGTCAGCTGGGCTGGCAGGAGCTGCTCAGCTCCCCCTGTCCCCAGAAAGCAACTGCACCAAATTTCAGCCAGGAAAGGAGTTTGGTGCTGCATGCATTGGGGCACACCCTCTGAACCCACAGGGACACCAGGTTTGGTCAGGTCCCCAAGACCCTCTGCATGCCTGGAGCTGAGAACAGGATCTGCAGAGCCTGGGGTGCCCCTCCTCAGGGCTGCAGGAAACATGTGAGCAGCCAGCAGCAGAGATGACCAAATGTTGTAAGAGCCAACAAATAACCTCAATTAAGCTCTGTGGCAGTGACCGATTCCAGCCGTGCAGCAATATTGGCTTCTTTAATTTTTAAGTGACTGGAAATGGCAAGGCTGGGAGCTGGGATGAGGAGACACCAGCCCTCTCTGTGCCCCTGGAGCCCTTTGCTGCCCTTCACCTTGCAGGGAGTGGAGCCCTGCTACTGGCTGAGCTCCATCTTGCCAGTCAGACAGTGGGATCTGAGGAGTCTGGGACACACAGGCCTTGGTTTGGTTAATTTTGGCCAAGAGCTTTTGCTCAAATTCCCCCTCTCTCAGTCACCACATCCCCACCGCTCTTCCTGCCAGGCAGGAGCCACCAGCATTCCCTGCCATCTCCCTACAGGGTGTGAAGGCATTGGGTGTGAGGCAGAGGGGGGCAAGGGCTCAGACCCTAATGCAGATGCCCAGGCAGGACATTGTCCTGCAGAGCACACGGAGAGCCAGGGATGGAGCTGTGACACATCCGACTCTCTCCAGCCAGACTAAAGCTGCACCACACCAGCACGACCTGGGTGTGTGCCAGCACAGGCAGGGCAAGCCTGGCCCTGAGGAGGGTTGGCATGGCAGCCCTGGCTGGGGGCCAGCCCCGGGCACCGGCAGGGAGCCCAGCAAGCAGCTCCTGACTGCCCAAGCTCCAGGAGGCTCTCAGATTTCCCCGTGGCAGCCTCAGCCTGAGTGTGGCCCAGTTCCACCGGCTCATTTGTGTGCAAAACAGGAAGGGGATCAGGATGGATAAAAAAGGCCCAGCTTCTCTGAAAGAATGTTTTACACCCAAAAAAAGCAAAATAAAAGCCAATGGCACACTTCTGTCCCCGATCCCTCCTGAACACTCTCCAACTCTGATGGAGCAGCCCAGGAGGATTCTGTTGTGCTCTTAGATGGAAGGAGAAGCTGAGGCATCAATGGCTTTTGCATTTCTCTGCCTGAGAAGGGGTTTCCTGCCAGAAAGGGTAGGCACCCCAGCAGGCAGGGCAGCAGTGCCCTGTCAAGCTGTGGTGCAGGGGGCCAGAACTGGCCCAGCCTCACCGTCTGCAGGAATTTTGCTCTGCTGCCAGTTCCAGACAAATCCCTTTTATTTGCTTGTTCAGGTTTCAGTGCCGTAATTGTGTCATCTGAGCCAGCTCTCAAGAGAAAAAGGAAGAAAAGAAAAGAAAAACCATGTGAAGGAGAGTAGCACAGGACCTGAGCCACCATCCTTATTGCGTCTTGCCTGCTCCTGCCCGGTGTCTGCCAATTCCTCTCTCACAGGGTCTGGCTCTCTGCCGCAGCTCTGGGCCTCCCCAGAGCTGGGACTGAGTAACTGGGAGGGGTTTGGTCCATATGGAGCTTCTGAGCACCAGAAGTCCTGTGAATGCTGCGGCTTTGGGGGACAAAGCACCCCTTGAATGGAGCTCAGCCTCAGAATGCCCAGAGGAAGGCTCCTGACAGCCCTCTCTGGGCAGTGAGCAGCATAGTGCAGTTCTGAGCTTCCTTCCTGTGCCCCCAAATTAAAGTTTGCTCCAAATCACCAGCTCTGGGAGGTAGGTGGTGGTTTTTTTAATATAATGTTTCCAGTGGAAACTGGAGCACCCCTTTACTTCACCAACTAGTCACAGAGCTGCTCCACACTTGACAGAGCTGTGGTCATCTGGGTGGAGACCCCAGTGTCACAGAACTCAGGACCCCAAATGAAAATGGGCAGCAGTGGGATGGGATCCAAACACATGGGAGTGCAGTGGTTGGAGCTGATGCATCACCACTGCATAGGAGATTGTCTGCTGGGCACCCCCATCCCCAGGTGGGGTGGGAAGGGCAGGACCCACAGCAGGACCAGCTGTGAGCACTGGGATGTGCAGGAGGGCTCCTCAACTCAAGCACCCCACAATGGACAAGGCAGCATCCACAGTTTTTGCACCCTTCCTCACCCCCATAATCATCCTTGTGGATGCAGGACAGTCAGCCAGCCTTGGCTTTGACCTACATGTATGTTTTAAATAACATCAACTGAAATGACAAAGGAAAGCATGAGGTCAGTCAAAGGCATGGAAGGGAAAAATTAAGTCAGTCAAAAAAAGGCCAAAGTGTTTCTGACCACAAGGGTGGTTCAGCTGGAGAAAAGACAGCTCTGAAAGCCACAAGTGCCTGGTTTCCTCAAATCACTACTTTTCTGGTTAAAAACAAAACAGAAGAGAAGGGTGTTTTGGCAGCAGGTTCCTCAGGTTCTGGGAGAAGCTGGGATGTCTCTGTGCTTGGGGGATACAGAGCAGATGGAGGGGGCCAGGGGGCTGTGACATGCTGGTTATCACAGTCAGGTCCCAGCTCTCTGCTCCAGCTTCCCCAAAAATTATTCACACAGGACACAGTGCTCCTGCCCTGGCCTCACTCTCCCAGAGGAGGCTGTCTCCATCCCCACCCCCAAACCTCATCACACACAGCACAGCTGTCCCCACAGTGTCCTACCTACCATTGTGTCTCCACTCAGTGACAGAGGGCAGATCCACCCTGAGCTGTCCCTGGTCCCAGCCCTTGCCAAGCAGCCAGTATCCCATCCCCCAGCACCCCAAAAGGTTGTGTCACCCTGTCCCCCACCCCAAAAACCAGGCTGTCATGCCAGGATTGTTCAGAAAAGGAGTTTTGGGCCGGAGGATGCTTGCTCCAGAGATGTCCCCAGGCCCAGGGAAGGGTCGCTGTGGGCAAGGTGGTCTCTGCAGCTGAACATGCCATCTCTGGGCTAGTAGTAGTCCTCCTCACTCTCCCTGTAGTCCTCAGGTGTTGTGCGGGGCTTCAGCAGGGAGAAGTCTGTCAGATTGAGTTGGTCTGAAATGGCACCATGGGGACAGTGTGACATTGCCACCCTGCTGTGCCCGTCCCCTTCCCCACCAGGACCAAAGCCAAACCATGCACAGCAGCTCTCTGAGGCATCCCCAGCACAGCCCCACGCTCCAGCAGCTCCTGCCACACTGGTGCACAGTGCCCAGACACTCCTTCCCACGTCCCCAGGAGAGCAGGGGGACAAGCACGTGCTGCTCACCCGGAGTGAAGACGGTCAGGCTGGCCAGTGCCACCACCTCCCCGAGCCTGTTCCTGGCGAAGCAGCGGTACGTGCCCTCGTCCGTCACCCGCACGCCCTGGATCTGGAGCCAGCCTGTCACCTCGTATTTCTGGGGGCCGCCTCTGAACTGCAAGAAGGGAGGGTTTCTGTCAGCACTGGTGGCAGGAGCAAGAGGGAGTCTGTGCCACAGAGCCCTGGTCCCCTTCCCACTGGCACTGAGGCTCCAGGATTGCTCTGGCAGCAGCCATGCTATTTTCTGTTTATCCCCAGGAATAAATAAGCTTGTCCTGACCCATCTGGGCTGCAGCTGTGTTTGCAGGATGTTATTATGCTGTGGTGGCCAGGGGTGGAGGACAGTAGAGTTTCCTCCAACCAGGCAGGGTAGTCCTGCTTGGGGTGAAGATCTTCACCCAGACCCTGCAACCAGATGTGGGGAGGCTTGAAGGGCAGAAAGATGGAAGGGGGCCATGGTGCAGGTTCCACCTGCTCCTCTGGCTCCCTCAGTCCATCCCACCACAGTTCCTTCCTCGTTGGTGTCTGGCTGAGGTGCATGGCCCCTTTGACTCTGCCCACGCCCTCTAATAGCTATGTAGACTCAGCTGGGTGCTATATTTGGGGCTGGCCACAGGCAGGATGCTGACCCCTGGGTCTGCCAGCTCTGGGAGAGAAGGCCTGCTGATGAGAAAAAAGGGCAGGAACTGTCTGAGTGTGCTGGTAGGACCAGAGGACAGCCCAGGCTGTAAGGCACTAGGGAAGTCCTTTTTCCTCTTTGCCTCTCTCTTTCCAGCCCTGCCAGCAAGACTGCAAGTGAAGCCAGCACACACAGCAAACTAAAGGCAGGCAAGTGGCAAACTCCCTGCTGCAGGACTCTATGTAAAAGCTCAAAAATTACTAGAGGAAATCACAGGAGAGATCTACGCTGATGGCTCCTACCACTGAGACACCAGCCCTGGCTCAGTCAGTCCTCGTGTTACAGAGCCTCCAGTGACCCCTTCCCATCCCCAGGCAGCCAGGCTTGGCCATTCCCAGAGTATGGCCACTCTCAGGTCTGGTTGTCCATGGGCTCTGAGGAGCACTGTGTCACTCTGGGGTTGTCTTCAATGCCCCAGGCACACCCCTCACCTGGACAGAGATGTGGGGGTCATCTCCAGGCAGCAGCATCTCCATTCCATCCTTCCTCCACTCAATGGATGCCATGGGGTAGGCGAAGACCTCGCAGCCGAAGATGACATCCTGCCCGGTGATGTTCCATGTGTCATAGGGAGGAGAGGTGATCTGAGGCTCTGGGAGGGGGGTAGAGGAGAGCAGGCTGGGCTCAGAAGAGGTCCCAGTCTTGGCATGTCCCACGGACTCTCCTGGGCTGCTCTCTGGAGCCTTTGGTTCACACAGAGATCCTGGGACCCTTCCCATGTCTGTCTCCTCTCCCTCCCATGGCAGACCCCCACATTTCCCAAGGACATGGGCCCTCCTCACAGCTGGGACTGGGAGCTCCCCCCACAAGCCCCCCAGTCCACGGAGGGTTGCCATCCCTGCTGGCCTCAGTTTCCCTGCCTGTGCAGTGATGCTCAAGCGCCACACGCAGCAGGAAGAGCTGCAATGGGTTTTGTAACATTGCAATGACAGCAATGTCACAAACAAAGCTCTCCTGAGCCATTGGAGCATGCTCCTCCTGGGTGGGAAAGGTCAAGGGTGCTCATCCAGCCTGAGCTGGTGAGGATGGATGAGGTAGTTCAGCTTCCAGCCAGGTGAGGCCTCTGCTCTGACACAGGGCTGGTGCCAGCAATGAAGGGAGGGAGCAGGTCCCCATGTCCTGGATGGAGCCAACAGCTCCATGTTCCACATCCCTTCCCCAGAGGGACAGTGAGGATTGTCCTGCTCAAACACTGCTCCATGACCTGGCCCATAGCATGAGCCAGAGCTCAAGGGAAGGTTTCCACCTCCAAATACACCTGGGAAAATAGATGATGATCTACAGAAGATAAGGTCAGCCTTGGCACCCCTCAGGCTGCAGTGACATCACTGGGTGACCTGTGCTGGGCTGGGCAGGATGGGGCATGGCCTTCCTGCTACACTGTCCCCTCTCAACCCCCTCCTGAGTTTTAACTGGGAGGTGGAAATCACACAGCCAAGCCAAACCAACCCTGGTTTCTATTTGCAGGAGGCAGGCACATTTCTCAGGAGCAACAGGCCAGTGTGAACCCAGCCCTGCCGCCAAGAATTCGCTAACAATTCCCTGGAACTTCCCCATCTGCTCCAGCAGGATTTTTTGCTTCCATAAACTCCACTCCCTCTTGGCAAAGCTGCTCCCAGATTTCTCCAAGCACTGGATCTGCAAGGGACTCCCCCAGAGCAGGGGATGAGGGTACTGGTGGGAACCTGGCAATGCAGGGAGCAGCCCCCAGCGCAGTCCTGTCCCTGGTTTTGCTGCCAGGTGAAACAGTTAAGCCAGACCCCCTTGCTTGGCTCTTCCCACAGCTCCAGGGCCACTACCTGACTCGCAGGGACCTTCATGGGCCACGGTGAGGTTGGCATCAGGGTGGGCACGGGCAGCCTCCAGGAACCGGCAGATCTGGGCGTAGGTTTTGCCGTCAGAGCCGCAGAGGGCCAGGTGGGACAGGCAGGCGCACTGGGGCTCAGGCACCTCCCCGTGCCGCAGGTCCCCAGCATCCAGCCGGCACTCCAGGTGCTCCCCACACTTGCCGTAGAAGTGGTTGGTGTTGTCCAGGTCACAGATCTGTCCCTCCAGGTTGGCACATTCCCAGCAGCAGTCGCAGGCGTCCCGCACCGTGCCTGCCAGGCATCCGCGCGGCGTCGGGCACTCCTCTGGCTGGCACTCGGCGCAGCCCTCCCCTTCCTCCAGCAGCCGCTGCCAGCCCCGCTGCAGGTAGTCAGAGGTGCTGGGAAAAGCCTGGCCCAGCTGGAGCAAAGCCCAGGGCAGGGAGAGCAAGGAGAGCACGAGGCAAGAGATGCTGAGGGGCTTGGCTTCGGACATCCTCACGGCAGCTCCTCTATCCCAGTCCCACTGTCACCTGGATGGGGATTTCTGGCACTGCTCTGGTCTCCTTGTCTAGATCTGAGGAGCCATCCTGGCCTGTGAGGAGGGAGAAAGTGTGTTACTGGTGCAGGAAGTGTCTCCCACTCTGCCTCCTGGCTGGCTTGCTCTGAGCAGCAGCACTGCATGATGTGCAGGGTAGGGTTGGTCCCAGCCCCTCTCATCCCCAGCCCTGCAGTCACGGCCTTTGCACCCTGCAGCTCCCCAGCCAGCTCCTGCCCTGAGACACTGAGCATCTTCTGGAGAGATGGTGCTGATGACCCCAGCCCAGGAGGTTTCATCCTTGATCCCTTGGCAGCTCAGCACGTGAAGTTCAGCCTCCTCTGACCCCAGCATAGCCTGGGAAGCCACAGGGCTGGCAGGGCACTGGACAGGCTGTTCTACAACATTGTGATTCAGCTCCTTCATACCCCGCTCCTGGTCTCCTGTCAGAAAGTTGCTCTCAAGCCCTTTTCCTTTCCCCACTGCTTTGCAAGAGTCACGAACAGTTTTTCCTCCCTCACCATCCATACAAGCACAATGGAGTGGCTGATCCTGCAGACAAGGTGCTCTTTCTATGCTGGAGGCACCCAAGCCAGGAGGACGCTCCCACTCATGCCTGGCTTTTGTTCTACTTCTCTCCCTCTACTGTAACCCCTCTTTTTAGGCACCACCTATTTGAGCAGGGGAAAAAATGTCCACTGCCCAGAAGGTTTTGTGACCCCCTCAGTTATCACACAGGCAAATGAAGCTGAGCATGGAGGACTCAGTGCACAAGTGAGCAACCACTGGACTGACAGCAAACCCAGTATGGTCAGCGTGTACCAGCACGGCAGGGACCCTGCCCTCAAACCCCAAGCCTGCATTACCTACTCAGGGAAAGAAGAAGCTGATCGACTCCGGGCTTCCCATCTCTCCCTGGGGGGGAAAACTTGGCATCTCAGAGCCTGTCCCCAGAGAGGGTGACAGTGAACCAAATCCCTTTGCCAACATCCCTCCCTGCCCCTATTACACCCTGGCTGCCCTCCCTGAGATGGGTGAAATTACGGTCCTCCGCCCCGGGGCGACTCAGCATGAGCGAGCGGGGCTGGGGAAGGGACCTGGGGAGACAGGCTGTCCCCTGCCCGCCCCTCCCGCTGGGAACAGCAGCGAAGGGCAAGCTGCAGCCCCTCAGTTACACGGCCACTCTCGGGGCTAACACAGCTCAGAGATGGGGTGGGGATGGCCCGGATATTGGGTTACACATTTGCATCCCCCAGATAAAAAACCGTGAAGATTTGACCCCTTTACCAGAGACCAGCAGGCGCCCCAGGGGTGGAAAGGGGCAGAGGGTCCCAGTGCCGGAGCCCCCCCCTCGCCCACCCCACCGCAGTCCGTACGGAGTAGGGCTCCATGCCCCGATGGATGTGGGGGGCCGGAGAAAGGGTACGGGGAAACTGAAAAGTTGGTCTCTGGCTCCGCATGCCTGGGGTGCAGGCGCTGGGGGTGCTGGAACAGCGCTGGGAAGGGGCACGACGTCCCTTGGGGTCCCCCCGGAGCCCCCCCGCCGTCAGCCGCAACTTACCGGAGGCGCCGGTGCCGGGGGTGCGCGGCGGCCGTGGCTGCGGGGCTGCCGGCCCCCGGGGCTGCCGGCCCCCGGCCGCTCCTGCACCGCCGTGATGTCAGCGAAACGTGAATCCCCCCGCCCCTCTCCGGGCCCGCGGCCCGGCCCTGGACCGGGACACGGGCTGCCTGGCACCCCTTCCCTGCCGCGGGCCCGCCACGCACCCAGCCTGGCCCCGGGGCTCTGCCGCTCCGCTCCCCGGCGCCTGCACCTCCCCGCTGGAATCACCCCGCGGTGTGCGGCACCTGGGCTGATGCTCCGCCCCGTCCGTGGGGCAGGAAGGGACTGGGGTCCTCCCCTTTGCAGTCCAACTTGGCAGCAGTCCTTGGGGACAAGTGAATGGGAGAGGAGGGCATGGCTAAGGAAGTGGTCAAAAGCATCTCTTAGGCTGTAATTTGGTGAGGAAACACAGACTGAAAAGTTGAGCAGCTGCTGTAAGGAAATGGGGGGATAACTCCTGGGAATGTCTGCACTCGCCTCACGCCAGGGGCCGAGTGTGAAGGGGTCATTGGGATGTGAACCACGGCGCTCCCTTGGCTGGAGTGGAGCCATTGGGAGCAATGGTGCCGCTGCATCCTGCCACAGCAATGCAAAACCCATGTGCACAGGGCTGGGGATCCACACCTTCCCAGAAAGCTGCTTCGCTGCTCCCTGCCTCAGTTTCCCTCTGGAATTGGCACTGAGGAGTGGGGAGCCAGCCTGCCTTTGCAGCACAAACACACTGGGCCTTTGCATCTTGCTCTGGATGCCATGCCGGGAGGGATCACACAGCCTGCTCCTCTCCAGGCAAGGAATTTGTGGGATTTACTTCCTCCATGAAGCTCAAGCAAAGCAGGACCCCTTTTAAGGATCTGGTTTGCTTCACCATGCTGCAAAAATCTGCTTTTGCTTTCCAACACCCTCCTGCTAATTTGTTCTGGGTTCCAGGTTTTTGCTCGGTGACATTGTGAGTCCAGCCATGTCTAACGAACGGAAAATGCAGCAGGCTTCAGCCCCCTTAAATCTGCCTCTGCCGGCCAAGCTCCCCTCCCCAGCCCCCTGCTGCAGAGTGGGGTTTCCTGCCAGCTCTGCCTTCAGCCTCATGTCCCACTCCCCCTCTGTGGCCCCCAGCCCCTTGGCTCAGGGCTGCCTCCTCCCCTGGCTCCCCTTGTCCAACCTATTGAGTTCAGTTCCCACATGCCACAAGTTTTCAGGTCCAGCATCCATGAATTGCTGAGCAGCTGGGGCTGCAGCTGTTTTGGGAGCAGGGAAAAAGTCAGGAAGGGCTGAGGTTTTCCTACATGCTGGGTCAGAGCCTGAGCAGAGAGGAGACAGACTGTAATGCTGAGCCTCAGACAGGAGTGCTGAGCCTCCTGGGCTATCCCTGCCACACCACCTTTCCTGCTTTGGGATGAAGGACTTGCATGTTCAGGCATTCCTGCACACCCTCACTTGTCCCTGATCCACACAGGCGGCAAGGCAGTGAAGCAAGCCTGGCCCTGTATGCCATCTCCTGCTCACAAAGCTGCTGGCCAGCACAGAAACAGAGCCAGCATTTAAATCCCAGGCACTGCTGAAAACAGTCCATCAATGTTTTGGGTTATTTCTGTGTCTTGCCTTTGGCAAGGGGGAACAGGCCCCATTGCTGCTGTCCTTTCCCACACGTGGTTCCTCCTCCCATGTGCCATGGCCCAAACACTTGGTGTGTCTTATCTTCATGGGATTATTGTGGCCTCTGGGTGGCTGAATTCACCTGAGCATCAAGGCAGCATCAGCCACTAAGTGGGGAGAACCCCTGGCCAAAGGTGAAATCCAAACACAGGTCTGAGTAGGAGCAGCTCCAGTCGTGGAGGAATACAAAATACAACCCAGCCTCAGAAAACCAAGGGCAGCTTAGCTCAGCTCAACAAGATGGAGCTCAAACGTGGCAGTTAATTAAACCTCCCGCTTAATGAGACTATTGAATGTGTTAATAGACAGTAGCAGCTATGAATGAGAGGTGGAAGATCTAACCTGTGCTTAACAAGGACTTCTGCTCAATCACACCTGAAGTCAATCAACACAGCCGTGGCTGCAAATGGGGTTTGTGGCTTAGGTTGCTTGACAGCTTTGTGGGGAAAAGGGTGATCGCAGCCCGGCATGGCCTGGCACTTGGGTAAATTGCATTCCTGGCTCCCTACCAGTGCTGGCTAGTTTTCTCTCTTTCCTCACTTTTCATGAGCCCAGTGAAGCTCCTGGAACTGAGCTTTGAAAGTTGAACCTAAAGCACCGAAGTCTGCTCCTCCCTTCCTGGTGGGTTGCTCCCCATCACTCTTTTCTCATGTTGTGATGGTCATGTTGTGATAGAAGCCAGGAGTCCATGGGTACTCCTGGCAGGCCCCCATCCTTGTCATCCCTCCAGAGCTCTGCCTTTAGAATGAAACACATCTCATCCAGTCAGGGATATCACAGGGCTCCTGGCCCCGCTGACCTCCCTGCAGCTTTGGGCTGATCCCCCAGACACCCCATAGCAATCTGGGGTTTATGGCAGACAAAGCCAAGGGAAGAATCCACTCTGGAAAAACAAAGCCCCGGGCCAAGTGACTCAACGTACGTCATGTCAGGCAGGGCTGGCGAGCAGCACTGGGGCTGGGCTAGCGGGGCTGGGAATGTGGGTTATGTCACAGCAGAAGCACATGTCACCAGAGATCCTGGGACAATGCTGCCAGCACGCTGCCTGGGCCATGGGGGTCTCCTTCTGATAGTAAACCAAATCTCTCTGTTTCATGTCAAATACACTCTCTGCTTGCTGCTGTCTGACAGCCTGGAACAGCCCGGTTCTGGCCAGCCCAAGGCTGTGGCTCTCGAGGGGCCCAGCCACATTCCAGGGTTCCACTGTGGGGACAAGGCAGGGGAACAGGCAGGTCACCCCGCCTGCGTGCCAGGCCGGACCTGCTCTAGGAAGCAGCCAGGCTCAGGTTTCTCCAGGCTTTTCCAGACCAAATTCCTCCGAAGAACCAGCCTGTCAGCAAATTCTTGGGGAAGCGGTTGCAGCTGTGCGCAGGGTCACCTGGCCCCGAGGCGCGTCCCGAACGGTGAGGGACGCCCCGGTGTCCGGACTGCCCGGGGTCCCCGACAAGAGCCGCGGCTCAGCTCCATCCCGGCAGGAATCCTGAGGCTTTCCCATCAGCCCCATCCCAGCGCAAGCCCAATAACCCGGGGGCAGGAACCGAAAAGACGGCGGGGGCTGCATTCCCGGGATGTCCTCGCACTGCCACGACCGTGCCAATTTTGACACCGCGTTGCCGGGTGAGCACGGGTTCCAGGGCCCGAGACCCGCCCGGCTCCTCCCGCAGCCCGCGGCAATCGGGGCCCGGCGGTCCCGCCCGGCCCGCAGGGCTGCCCCGGCCCCGGGTGCCGTGGAGGCTGCGGGGTCTCTGCTGCCACCTCCAGGGCACCACTGGCCTCGTCCCCTTGCGGTGACACTGACCCTGTACCTGGGGGCTGCAGAACCTGCAGTAATGCATGCACACCTCAGCCCCACCACCCTTATCTTCCTGCCCGCTAAAAGCCCCACTGTGAGCCGAGCCCGGGAGCGATGTAATGTCCTGAGGGGCTTGGGCACATCCTCCTGTGACGGTGGGATCCTCTGTTCAGCCCGCCCTGGTGCTCAGGGCTGCACGGCCCCTCCAGACGGGCGGGTGCTCCAGAGGGTGCTGCCAGCTCAGTAGCACCGCGGCCGCTGCCGTCTTTGCCACCCTCCCCTTCCCCAGGCTCCAGGAGCCCGGCAGGGCTGGGACACAGCCAGGGAAGGTGACCTGCTGCCAGCACCCCGGCACCCGCTGCCGCTGGGGACGGGCGCTGGGGAGGGGGAGGCTGCCCGCTCCCCCCTGCAAGAGGCTGCCCATTTCCAGGCGTCATTAAAGAGCAATTAGCTGGAAATTAAGCTGAGAACAAGTATTGATTAGCTCATTAAGGCTGGGGGAGCCGGCTGAGGCGGTAGGAATTGCTGCTGCTCGCCCTCATTATGGGCAAGGTTAAAGCATGTGGTCGGGCAGCTCATTAAAAATGCCAGGGACCAATCGATGTCCCCAGCCCAGCGCCGCCCAGCACCCCCAGCACCCCTGGGGACATCCAGCTGCTCTCTTTCTGGGACTGGCCCTTGACCTCTGTGATGAGCCATCTCGGGAGGGACTGAGCATCCTTGCTCCCCTACTGCATCCTGGGCTCCCCTGCAGAGGCAGCAGTGTCTCTTTGGGACTTGTCAACACCCCAAAACTCACCGGCCAAGTGAGATTTCTCTTCCCCAGTCAGGGGAATCCACGGTTCCCCCTAGTGCAGGGAAGTGGCTGAATCGGCACCGCTGCTGGCTCCAGGAGAGAACAGACCCCATGGCTGAGCAGCCCGGAGCTGCAGTGCTCCAGTACTGAGTTTTTCATGTCTCTGCCTAGTGGTGCTGGCTTGTGCAGGTGTGGGACAGACCAAAGGGGATCTCAGGAATGGAATGAAAGCAGGTGACAGATGAAGACCCTCAGTGGCTCTGTGTGCCACACCACACTGCCCTGTATCCCAGCCTCACGGCTCTTGGGGGTCTCTTGGGGTTAGCCCAGAGTCAGCCTGGCCAGACCCATGCAGCCAGACCCAGCCACCCCAAGCATCTGTGTCTCTGGTCCCATGGCCCTCCCATTTCCATCTCTGCCTCTCGTGGCCTTCAGCAGCTCAGGGCCAGCTCCCAGCCAGCACACACAAGGAGGGTGGCCCTGCAAAGCCGGGTGGTGTGTGTGGGAGGAGGCAGGTGTCATCATTATTTTTGTTTTCTTTACACTGCTCTGGAAATATATTGTATTCTCAGATAATCCCGTTCAATTATACCACAATAAAACACATAATAAAAACGTAATTCATTTTTCCTGAGCGCTCCATCTCCCTGTGCCTTGGCAAGCTATTAAAAATTTGTCTTCATTTTTCTGGCAAGAGCCTTGTACCTTTTCATCTTTAATTTATGAGAGCAGAATAGCTACTGACAAGCCCTTATTGCACGGCAAGGGGCTGCATTATTTATAAGCTGCCAATGGCTGGCTCAGGGGAGATATTTGCAATAT